TATAATAAATGTCTTAATAAATAGCTTAATAATTCTGTCTTGTCGGTTACATCGAATTAAAAATATTTTTTTATTAAATCTACATCTATTTTATCTATAAAAAAATTGTTTAATTCCAGGAAAAAGATATAGTATGTAGGGTTTAAGAAATAGATTACGAATGATTATCCTTTTTATTTTTTTAGACTGATTAGTAAAAGAATGTTAGCGAGTGAAATATTTACAAATGAAATAAATATACACGTACGAATTCAATGAAGTATAGTTCCAGAAACTGTACAGTTAACGTGATATCTGTTGTTATACAATACATATCTCTCGTTTAAATTATTTTTCTCGCGTTTAACCGTTTAATAAATAATTGTAATAAAGCTTTTTACTGTAGTACTCCGATCTCATTAAGTAACGTCACTTCGTTCAGATAATTATTTCGAAATTATTTAACAGCAGATATTAACAATTATTAGCGATCATAGAAAAATATTTTGTCATACGGATACAAGATCATCTCTATCACTCATCTGTGCAGATAAACTAAATGCAGTGTCTGTGCTAGCTTCACTATTTAAGCTTTCATTAAATGCTGGCTTTATGTGAGCAGCATCACTCATCTCCCTCATCAATCCAGCCATATCATCGTCTGGATCAATTTCTTGCATTTCACCAACTACATCAATCTCCATAGATTGACTATCTGTTATCGACATTTCTGGTACTTCCGGTTTTATCTCTTTAAACTGATTTAAATAATTGTGCTTATAATTTTCTGTTCAGTACACATAATTATGATAAAATTATTTAAATACTTACCTTCATAGATTCTAATTTACATTCGGATGGTAAATTCATATGGAATACGCAATTTGTATCAAAAATGACAGGTACTGGTTCATGACATTCTATGTCTGCCCTGACAGCTCCACAAGCTTTAAACAAAACTTGATGTTGATCCTGTTAATGCAATATGATTTTGTCAGAATTATGTTTTTCAAAATATAATAATAATAATAATAATAAACAATTGACTTTAAGAATATGTTTGCGACAATGTTTTGCAGCAGGAAGAGTTCTCTCGCCACATTTCACTCCACCTTCTGTGAAAATACATTTTGATACACTTGGTATTTTTTGTGCAGGTCCTTCGGTTGCCTAAAACAGATTAATTAGTTTTTTTTTAACTTGAAAAGAATTTTACAGATAATTATAAAAACATAGTGTATTCATACATTACCTGTGCTCTACGTTCTAATGATTTTCTATATAGAATAGCCTCAACCCCACTCCGCCTATGATATCTATTCAAAGCTTTTAATTTCTCATACATCTTTTTTTCTTTTGCAGTTTCCTTTGGTTGATCATGTATGGCACATAACGTTTCTTTTTCCTTTTTAAGTCCATGTAAATATTTTCGTCTCTTTTCTTTTAATGTGTACTGTAGCCTTCTGAACTGATCTATATAAAGTGACTGTAGTCGAATCAGTTTCTCCCTTGCAATATATATCACTTCCTCTGCAGTAAAAATTCCTGCATGCCTTAAAAAATTAATACTACTTATTTGATAGAAATAAGTTTCTTATCTTTGCATAAAGCAGCTACAAAAGTCAAGTGAGTAGTATCGAGAGTTTAGAACTTTAGAAGTGATGTGATATTTATACAAAGATTGCATGTAATTAAAAATGAAAAGTTTTGGAAAGATTTGCTCAAGCTAAAGCATGCTAGCTGATATTCTACAAACAGAATAAATTTAAGAACATTAGACATTGTAGCCTTTGTAGTGCATCTTATCCTTACTTTAAGGGATCTTCTTGAGCACTGTATAAACTTTCATTATCACTATCATCTAAATAACTTCCTCTTAAAGTATCGCTCACTACCGTAGGTTCAACATCACTATCTGAAGAACTTGCATAGTCTAGAATATCACAACCACTTGCATTTACCCTAAACGCATCGACTTCAGCTGAAATTTAAATTTAAAATGCACAATTAGTACTTGCAACTTAAAAATTCTTAAGCAGAATAAAAATTTATAGTGGTCTTACTAAAAGGATCTAATGCTTTAACTTTTCCTTCTTCATCTTCCGTATCTTCTGTACTTGAATCAGTTGGCTTAACGTAATGACTTAAATTAAGTAAAAGCATTTCAGGTGTTTGTGGTAATGAATGCCTAGATGTTGACTTTATACGTGCTATTTGAGCCTTTCTAGTATGTTCAGAACAATATCTATTAAAAACAAATGGTTATGTGAAGTACGAGTATGTTAAATAAAATTAATTTTCTATATCTAGTCATTGTACATACGAAATATCTCTTCTGTCTAACTTTGGTGCTGGGTTCTGGCATTTTCTACCATTGGTATTATACACAAAACCGCATTGTTTGTAAGGTGCATTTGGATCCTCAAGAATATGCTTTGCACAGTAATTGTATCCTTCAAGGCAAGGCTGTGTACATTCATATGATGCATATAAACAAGCATGTGTTTGCTTTGGTTTTTTTGTGGCTGTTGTAGTCACAGGCATTGTTTTTGGGATACGAAACATACCTTGCTGTATAATAAACAATAAGAACTATATGAGCTCAAAGAAATATTTCAAAATTACACATAATCTAATCACAATAATAAAGCCATGAATCAGTCAATTTTAATAACAAACTTTCAAAATACAATGAATACAAATCTCCTATTTCAAATTTACCGCGACTATTCAAATCGGAAATCAAAACAACTACATTTATCTCGTTATCCGATAAAACTCCATAAATGAATGACTATCGAGTACATAAAAACAGTATATTAAATATAAACAATGGTACACCTCGAAATTCCCAATTATCTGCCAAGATACGGATATTAAGGAAATGATATTTGTAACAAGTGGTAGTTAGCCACCATTCTGTACGTGGGATGTTGAATGAAGTTTCATTGATGTATGTACGGATTTCGAAAGAATGAAGCGGACATGTGATTGGTTTTTGTGAAAATTCGGCGATAAAGGGAACCAGCGGGACTTAAGAAAGCCGCGAGACATAATCTTTTTAGAAACTTACCGTGATCACTTATATAAAATCTTCCGAGACGGAAAGACAGTGCCAACTGATTCACGCTTGTCACCGTCAACGTTCTTCTGGAAACTTCAGAGGGAAAAGATAATACAGTGAAACGTAAAGTAGTGGCGATCGTGCCGTAAGTCCAAGATTGTATGCGAATAAAATAATAAATACTTGATAGGTAGGCACTGGGTCCTTCGGTGGGACCGAGATAACGGGAACGCTATTACAGGGATAACATTGGCTGCGTGCACATACTACTAGCTGTACGAAGGTTGCGTCACTTCCGGGAGTTTAAAGCTCAAAAGTTCTAATTGATAAACTACGTGATTCATACCTGTCGGTAGACCGAAAAAAAGTTCAGGTAGGTTATGACGTTGGTTGTAAAGTGTTAGCCGAGCTGGTTTTACGTTACGCACGCGTATTTACCGTTAAAATCAAAACGCAACGGCTCATATGATCAAGGAATCGTCGATGCCTGTTCCGTGGGACGAGTACACGCGTTTACTGCGCTAACTGTGCCGACGGAATTGCAACTTCTCGTGCAACATAACGACAAACTAGCATTTTATGGTTCGCAGATGAGATGGGGTAGATTTTGAAAGTGCGTAAAACCGTCGCATGCTAAGTATCCTTCATGTATCGTTACGTAAGAGGTGGGAACAAATTTTTCATTCCGTTAACGCGGTCAAAATAAGCATTCTAATCGTTACGAATCAGAGTATATAACCTTTTTTCTTCTGTAACCAACCTCATAGCCTGCCGAGAAAAACATTTAAACGGAAGTCGCTTAACAAACAAAAATAATACACGAATAAATGATGCGTGCGGAGGATATTTCCGTGCAATAATTGACGCCTTACATCGTTGACTACCTTGTGTACCTAACGTATTATAGATATATCGAGTTCTAAATTGCAACGCACCCGACGTCGTGTTTTAAATGCGTGAAACGTTCGAAGGAACTTGCGAGACAAACAAACGAACAAAAATAAAACCTACGTAAAAACGCAGCGGCCCCCTATAAATGAGTTTTAAAGTAATAAATAAAATCTCGTTACTGTGATGCACCGTCGAACAGACGATTTTATTAACTTATTATAATTATACAGAAATCCTGTTTTGTAAAACGACTATTCGAGTAAATAAAAACATTCTCGAACAAAAAAGAAAAAAAAGAAAACAAAAATAACGGTCTCAAGAAATTCCGTAAGAACCACTTGTAAACTACGACAATCCATTATCATAAATATACGAAAGCATTGAAGCGTTTCAAGCATCTATGAAGTTGATTCTTTCATTTCCTGCACGATTCCAATACAGTGCGGTGAAGTTTGACGCGAATCCGTAATAATCCGACTAGAAAGAGAAACAGCGGCCATTTCCGGAATTTTAAAAAACGGAGTTATTTTCGAGTTATTTAACCACGTTAAAAATCAACCGATAGCTTTAGCGACGGTGTCGTACATGAATAATAGAGAAAGAAAAAATATATAAATATTCCTTGAAGGAGTACGCTTGAAAATAAAATAATATCTATTTTCTTTTGGATATTGATGTGCTTGATTATGATTCACTGTGAAAAGTTGCGCGGCTATGAACTCGGAGTGGAGTTTCCGGTTAACGTAGTGACGTGAAGTTTCCAACGTGTCGCTGTTGTGCGTTCGTGCTCACCACCGCTGCCGCCGTCGCGACCGCCGTGAAGTGCGCATCGTTAGTACCGAATTGTGTGTACATATAAATGGCGGCTGACGAAAAATGGTACTTTACGAAAGAACAGCTTACAAACACGCCGAGCAGAAGATGCGGCATCGACGCGGATAGGGAACTGAGCTACCGGCAGCAGGCGGCGAATTTCATTCAGGATATGGGACAGCGGCTTGTGGTGTATCCTTTTTAACAGGTGCATGTTCGGTTGCGTGTTTCTCAACCTCCCTTTCCCCCTATCCCTTTCAAAGTTTCACATTCATTCTATGATCCCGTACGCCGAGAAAATCATCTCAAACAGTCTCACACTTACGGGATTCTTTACCCTTACGTAATAGTTTGCTGATGAGTCCGGAATTTCGAGTAGACGCGAAAATACGTAACGTGTTGTAAACATGAGTGACGTGCGAAAGAGGAGGTCACGCGTCATGATTATGATTCTCCATATTGGACTTGGTCGCGTTGCGTCTTTGGTGGACGACAAATCTCGGGATTTTCGTGGGATTCGACACGGTCGCATCACGCGTAGAACGGTTTGAGTGATTGAGAATATTAAAAGAGTTTTCGTTAGCTGAAAGGAGGACAGGGAATAGGGTCATGGAAAGGCTGCATTGTTTGCCAAGCCAAGTTTGACAGTAGTACCAACCAAAGGCACGGTTTCTGCTAATATTCCTTATGCAAGTATATATTTCTCTTGTATTTTCAGTTTATCTTTGTTTACGTATTGTTGCATTGTATCAAGGATCGATCTAGCTTTCCGGTGACTGTGTTATCACGTATGAAAGGAAAGCGACATTGCAATTAATGCGTTTGATACTGTTCTAGTCGTCGTTGATGCTTTCTTTTGTAATGGAGAAATGAGTTTCATTGAATCTTGTTTATTCGATAATAGATTGTTGAATTGAAAACTATTTCATTGGGAACGGGTTACTTGTTGTTGGAGGATATTAATTTTTAACTATTTCAGGAACTTGGTATTATTATCTGATAATGAATATAGTTTGAGAGCACAACTTATTCATTTTATTCGATGGATGTAAAATCTATCTTTGCCGGGATATAATTATTTAATTAAATTGTTGTCTTTTAAATGTTTTATAGATATTTTCAAGTTATGATACATAAATATCATATATATTCTCTATAATATTTTTATGTTTCAGATACATGTTTGTCATATAATTCTTAATTGCCATACCGGTTGTGAGAACTTCGACAGATTCTTCATATCATTTTGAATTGAAAATTCATAGATGTATTTCGAGATTATGGTTTTAGATGAAATTTATTTAGAGAATTATAGTTTCAATTCTTCCTTTTATGTTCTGCAGTGTACAGTATTCTTGTAGCAACTTTATATAGTAAACAAATAATGAATATGTAGAATGCTGATTTCTTTTGTATTCTATTTTCTCTCTATTGTAAGTTATTTCTAGAGTTTTAATTTATATATGCAAATAATTTGAATTAGAAAATACAGGTAGTCTGTTATAGTATAATATAAACAAAGAAAAAGTAAACTGGGAGAAGATCTTTAAATAAAAGGCAAGAGCACACAACAACATTGTGACTTAGTTGATCAAGTTTTTTATATTAATGTAATTTACAGTTTAAATAAAATTTTTTAAGTATAATCTATTGTTCCCTCTATTTTCTGATCTTACCATTTAATGTAATAGTATTTTCATATCTGAATAGAGTTTCTTGCTTACATATTTTTCATCTTTTTTTCATTTATATTACTGATTTATAAAACTTTAAAACATATATATCATTCTGTAAATAATGATTATCTTAAATAATTTTCTTATATTTTTATTCGTATTATAAAATATTTAAAGGTATTATGAAGAGATGTATTCAAAGCTTTGTGCATCTTGTATGTTATAATATAGTAATGAGAAATTCAGTTGATGCAATAATCATTTCTAATATTCTGTTCACATGCTTTTTATTTATAACATTGGTCAATAATTTAAGTATTAAGTATAGTTTTCTTATAATTTAGTGCAATCAAAGAAAGAACATATTTTATTTTAAATAATTTTGCAGAAGATAATTTCATAGAATGAACGTTCCCTGAGATTTAAGAATAAGTATGTAACCACTATCGTGTTATGAAGTAAGATACAACAGGCAATTTGTTATTTGTTGTTTTCCTTAATTAGTCAACAATAGATCACAATTATGTATCAACACAGCAATAGTGTACATGCACAGGTTCTACGTATTCCACTCGCTGTCACAGTTTCACAGGAATGCAATTGCAGCTGCGGCACTATTTTTAGCAGCAAAAGTAGAAGAACAACCGCGCAAGTTAGAACATGTTATCAAAATGGCACACGTTTGTCTCCACAGAGATCAGCCCCCACCTGACATCAGGTCTGAGGTAAGATTCCAGGAAATGACATGAAAGATAAGGCTTTTTTGGCACAACAAATGTAATCATTCGAATACATTGTCATTTATAGCAATATCTTGAGCAAGCTCAGGACCTGGTTTTCAATGAAAATGTCCTACTACAAACATTGGGGTTTGATGTGGCCATTGATCATCCCCATACACATGTTGTTAGGTGTTGTCAACTGGTTAAAGGTACATACATTATATTAAAGTTAGTTATTTCTTAATTTTACGAATTAAACGTGTTGCAACCATATACAAATGTTTAAGAAACAAAAGTAATGAGAAGAAATTTCTATTATAAGCATTTTATAATATTAAATTCTATTAAAGCTTTACACGTTTTTTTACAGCGAGCAAGGACTTAGCCCAGACTTCATACTTCATGGCATCTAACAGGTGGCTACACATTATTTCCTAGTATCTCTTACTCTTAGCAGTCTTCTGGTCAAATAGATGCCAGCTGGAGCATATTTCCAAGCTAAGACTGTCAGGCAATAGCCACTGGCGCAACATTCTGACCTGGTTTTACATGAGAAAGCAAAGTAAACGTGAAATCAAACTATGTGAATAAATTTGATTGGCTTGCATGATATAAGCATAGCTTAAGGAAGAGTGGGTTTAACGAATGATTCCTATGAATTAAAGTGATCTTGAAAAGCATTATGACATGTCATGATAACACGATGAAGTTTACTTTGATTTCATGGCGTTTTTTGAGTTCTAATACGAATGTTTAAATTGTCGACAGTAACTTTTAGGGAGGAATGTTGCGTTGCAGTCGCGGTAATGTCTGATTCTAAAGAGAACGTATGCCAAAGCGAAACGAAGTTTATTTCGTAAACTAAGTTCACGATGAGGATTGCTTAAATTGAAGGTAAATGAAATATTCTTAAGGACTGATCGTTTTCTCTTAAATTACGGTATATTGTCCAGTTTTTATTTTTATATTTACATACACTTATTTTTAAGCTGTAGATGCACAAAACAAATTTAAAGAGTGAATGAAATGAATGTGAAAGCAGTGATTTGATGAATGAATGCATAGAGAGATATTTGGCGATTAAAAGAGAAAAGAGAGATAAGCATTAGAGATACCTTTAAAATTTATATTAGAGTTCCGATACTGAGACAGTTAGGGTTACAATCAGACTAAGATTTATTCAAATGTTATTTAATAATCTGTAGTATGAACGGATCATACAATGATTAAATAATAATTGAATGAACGATGAAATATTTATTATGGATCAAGGTTTTTTAATCTACTTTTGTTGTAAACAAAATAGTATTGCTTAAAATAATACGTTCTCTCGAGCATAGAAAGATATCGACTAAAAATTTTCATAATTTCACTTTTTTGTTTTATGTTTTATATGTAATGGAATATGGTACTGTTATTCACTCTATCATGGGATTATGTTGGGGCAAACTTCGGTAAAATTTGTTACGATACAACAGAGTGTCGTAGGGCATATACTGACAATTACGTATGTAAAAATTTGATCTATATAATTTTTTATAGCTCATCGCGAAAAAGGAGTATTGCATTAAACATGCGTTGTTCTTTTCATCTGTTTTGGAAACGTACTCTTTGGAATTAAATTGCACTCACAGACCGAAAGTTCTAATTGGAAATAATATAAACAATCGTTTTGAACGAATCGTAAGAAATTCGTCCTGGTTTTATCCCGATATTACCCATGTTCAATGGAACTTGTACTTCTCTTTTTATAGTACAGTTCTTTTTACGTCCTGGGTTATATTATACGGAACAGTCACTGGTATGTGAGACGTTAACGTTCCTCCGTGAATTCATAGAACAATTTCTTCTTTACAGCTTACATTTGACGACGATGTGTCTGCAATACAAGCCAACGGTAGTCGCCTGTTTCTGCATACATCTCGCCTGCAAATGGTCTAATTGGGAGGTAAATTATATTACAATTATTATTACACCATGTCCATGAAGAAGTACAATTTATTAATTCAAACATTTGACATGTGTTTTCATATAGATACCACAAAGTACAGAAGGAAAGCATTGGTTCTGGTACGTCGACAGGAGTGTGACTTCTGATCTTCTTCAAGAGCTTACCGACGAATTCCTTCATATATTTGATAAATGCCCCTCGAGATTAAAGAGGAAAATCATGAGCATATCCGCCAATCAAAGTCCAAGCATCAATCATCCTAGTTTACCAAATTCACCTTTCGTGAGTATCTTTCTCCAAACGTTCTTAACATTGTCATACATTCCATATATACATATTAATGTTATTAATATTATGTTGCATCGAACACTTGGAATGTTTCTGCTATTATTACAAGACACTCTGTATACTACAGATGAAGCTGAAGATTCTATTGGATTTGTTTCTAGGACGCGGAACCCCGTAAAGTACAGTCTCCTGCGACGACGGCCGATGGTGGACCAACATTCCATACGAATCGACCTCATCACACGGAGAAGCAAGAAGATAAGAAACAACTTGCTTCTGCACCCTCGAGACCTCCAGTCGACTACCGCGAATATCGCGAGAAGAAGGAACGGGAACGTTTGGGAAGAGAGAAAGCATCAGCTCCGACGGCAGCTGCTATGACTCACTCGTCAGATATCAATATTCATCATTCTCATCATCACAAACCTGTATGTAGTACAAACGTGTTGAATAAGCATCCATTGCCGCCTGCACAGAAGGCGCTTCATCATAACCATCACCATAGACCGGAAGTGAAGGTCGGCCAGCCGGTACCGCAAAGACATTCGAGTAATAGCCAAGCTAGGGAACCAAATCGTGATCCTAATAGACAGAGGTTACAAAGAGAATACAATTCTACCGGTACAAGTAGCAGTAGTAGCAGTAGTAGCAGCCTTCACTCACATAGCCACGCAGTGCCGAAGGAGCCGAGCTCGGAGAATTCCTTGAACGACTCTGTTGCTCACAGATCTGACGTCGGAGCGTTGCAGGAGCCGGTGTCGCATGGGAACATGCAGGAGAAACTTAGTAATAATAATCATAGTGTGCATAGATTAAGCGGCGTAGAGAGTAAGCATCAGGGTCACGACAAGAGGATGTATGATCCAAGGCATAAGCCTGTAGAGCATCGAAAAGACAGCGAACAGAAACCATACAAATACCCGGACCCATCGAGAGTGGACCGGCAGAGGAAGTCCGACACTCTAGAGCAGAGGTGCGAGGAGGTGAGGAAGATCATCGAGAAACCTCTACCTCCGCCGAAGCCTACGCTTGACGCACCGTACGCTCCGAACGCGCAGAAACCGACCCATCACAGTAAATACAATCAACTAGACAAACTGCAGACCAGCAGCGGCGCGGTGTCAGTCGATGGCAAACTGATCGCCGGCCAAAGCTCGTTTACGCAAGAAAAGTCGCCGACCAATGCAAGCTCGTTGCTCTCTCAGAAATCGTTGTCCTCGAAAACAGTGTCGAACCAGCACACCGCACATGGTGTGTCGCAGATATTGAAAGACACCATTAAGAACGGCAGTTCCCAGGCGTCGAGTCTGGCGTCTTTGAACAACCTGGACGATCCGAAAACGGAGAAACGGCCGCGGCACGACGAGGTCGACAAGAACTCGTCGGACATCCAGCAAAGTGTGCTGCAAACACCGCCTAGCAAGCACAAGTCCTTATTCAGCCCGGAGAAGGTACCGACGCCTCGTGAATCCCACTCGCAGAGGCCTAAATCTAAACAGAAGACACCGCCGTCGGCGGCTAAAGTTCCTAAGCAAGAGCGTGTATCAGATTCGTCTATAGGTTTTAATTTAGTCTCGCCGTTTGCGAGTCCGCCGGGCTTGCAGCAGCAGCAGCAGGAAACGCTTCCAATTAAACGGTCGGCCAGCGACGTCGCCTCGTCCTCTCATAAAAGGCATCGCTCGGGTAGCGCGAGCGAAGGTGGCCAACCGGTCAAAGTCAAGATAGAGGACAGACCAAGCTTTGAGGCCGTGAAAATGCTCGGCAGGGTGCCGGAATTGATACAGCCGATCAGGGACAATCCATCGTCGAACGGTAGAGCCAGTCAGATCGCAAACGATATGAAGCCACCGGAACTGATCAAGCCGTTCGACTTGGAGCCGACGATGTCACGATTCAGCGGCGCGCAACATCAGCAAGCGTTGTCGAATCAACAAGGCCTGACGAACGGGCTAGACACGAACGTGGTGAAACAAGAGACTCAAGAGTTTCAGGTGAAGAAGGAATCGTATAAGGCTGACGTATCGAAGAAGATGGAGCACCAACAAATTAAAGCGGAATACCTGTCACCGATGAAGTCCGCTCAGAGTATAAGCGCGTTGCTGCAGGAACCGTTGGCGCCGATGCCGTCTCTGCTTCAAAGTATGCAGCCGTTCAGTCAATCAGTGACCCAGCAACAAATCTCTCAGGAGCAGTTCCAACAACAGCACTTGCAACAACAGCAGCAACAGCAACAACAACCACCACCGCCACCGCCAGCACCTCTGCAATCGCAACAGCCACCAGCACCGCAACAGCAACAACCACCGCAACAACAGTCCATGTCTCATTCGATCTTGCTATCCGACCATCAAATTCCCATTCAGAATCAATGCTTGTCTTTGCCGACGGTCAGCGAGCCCGTGATAGCTTCGACCGTGGATATAAGCGCTCTCTCCGTTTCAGTGCAGAGCACCACGGAATCGATCATCTCGGTGCCCACGTCGACGACAACGTTGACGGTCCCGGCCCCGCCTGCCGAGGAGAAACGGTCCGACCACCACAGAAGCGAAAAGAAGAAGAAGAAGGAGAAGCACAAGCACAAAGACAAGGAGAAAAGTAAGGAGAAACACAAGCACAAACACAAGGATAAAGACAAAGAGAAACATCGGGAGAAGGACAAGGAGAAGGCGAGCGACGAGGCGGTACCCGCTGTGCCCATCAAAATCACCATCCCTAAAGACAAGCTGAACCTCAGCACAGAGTCGACCGGGACCACTGGTGGTAGCGGGCTGCCGGTCGACAAGAACAAGTCGCCTCAGAGCACCAGCATTAAGATCATTATACCTAAGGAACGACTGAAGGGCGCGGACAACGTGTCAAACTCGCCCGGCCAGTCGGTCGTCCAGGCACCCTTGAAGATCAAGATCCGCACGGATGGAATCTCGCGGAGCTCGACCGGCGCGTCGTCGACAACGAACAGCTCGGCCGGCGTAATGCCGGAGTTCGCGAACGAGAGCCGGAAACGGGATCGCGGCTCGGACATGAAGGAAAGCCCGACGACCAGCGTACCGCCCACGAAGAAGCAATCGCAGATGTCCTCGGCGGGATACGGGCAACACCGGCCGGGCGAACGGCAGAACGGCAGACACTATAGTTCAGGCAGCAATAACAAGGTACGTGGAGGCGGTAGAGGCGGCCGCCAGTATATCGGGCGTGGTCCACCACCAGCAGGATCGGCGGGCCATTACGGTGCTCCCGGCCAGCGCGACGGCTACTATCAACAAGACACCTACAATAGTAACAATGCTCGTAATCCCCATCATCCCCATCCATCGTCCGCTCGCGGCGATCCAGGTTACTCGAGGGGCGGCCCCGTGAACCAATCCCAGCCGGACTCGTATTTCTTTGCCAATTACCCGCCCCCGATCTACAACCCCGCCGGATACATATACGACCACGTGATGTACTATCCGCAGTACCAGCAACCGTACCCGATGTATCCGACGGGGAACGTGATCATGACGCCAGACGGCGCCATCGACACGTCCGTGCCGCCGCCATCCCTACCGCCGAACATGCGACAGAGTCAGAGCATGATCCCAGTCCCGTCTGCTCGGCAGGAACCCAAGACACCACCACCGTTGCCGAGCGGACCGCCCCCTAGTTCCTCCCCACCGCCACCCCCGCCACCGGAATAACGTTCGTACGGAAATCCTGTCTTGTAGTGGACTTTCAGAGGTAGTTTCCAATGTAGCTGTTGGATTCGCCAGCCACTTCTCTGTTACTCTGGTCGACGTTCTTGCCGTTGACTCGATCCCTTTAGCGACCAGTCGATGATCCGCTGGACACTTGGAAATCGAGAGTTTGCGTTGGCTCGACGGTGTTTGTTGATCCTTGAATTCCTTGTATCCGATAGTCGACTGAAAGGTCTTTTAGAATTCCCCGGTTGGGAGCGAAAATATCAATTCAATCGAAGTTCCGTCTAACGTTTGCGAATCCGATGCCGAGCTCGAGCCATCAGCTGTTTTTCCAGCGATTCTTTTAGAGACACAACGGACTTCAAGATTCTTTCCGCGCGTGCAATACGTTTACTTTTCGTAGATGAAGCAATTGATAGCCTTGGAAATTTGCCGGGGAGAGAGGCAATAAGAACGAACGCGAGCAACGGGCAAGCGAAGTGGCTGGAACAGACAGACTTTTCACCCCGCCTCTATCCTCCTCTTCTTCTCCCTTTCCAGTTTTGTGAATGGTAGAAGTAGCAGCATGCCGTACGATCTCTATCCCCTATAGTGTTTACGAACCACCACGTTTCGATCTTTCCACCTTTGTACCTGTAGCGCATCTCCTTAGAGTAGTTTCTAAAATGAGTGCGGGAGAGAGAGAGACTTCGTCGAAGAACGTACGGGCGGGGGTGAGAAGTGATCAACCCCCGCCGGTAATCCTCGGGATCTAGGACTCCAAGAGGAGGGCACTCTGCGGCAACCGAAGAAGACGGCGACGAGCGTCGCGGATCCAGCGAGAGGATCGAGAATGACCGGGATCCGGTTTCCGCGAGAGAGCTGAGCGATCGGTCAGTTTGCAAATCGAAATGATTATTCATTCGACTGTCGAAGGGTGGGAGACTGTAGCGAAGGGAGTCTGTCTTCAAGGGAACGATCCTCTTT